GGCGTGTCGTAGTACTTCATTACTTTTATTGCTCAATAATTCTCCATTGAACTGATAGATCACATTTTATTTGCCCATTCATCAGTGGATAGGCATTTGGTTTAGTTTCACTTTTCAGCTATTATGAATAATGTTGGTAGAAATAGTCATATACAAGTTTTTGTGTGGACGTATATCTGTATTTTCACTGGGCATATAGACAGGAATGGCTAGGTCACCTGGTAACTTTATGTTTAACTTTTGAGGAACTTCCAGACTGTTCTCCAAAGCAGATGTCACATGGTACCATTTTGTTTTCCTACTAGCAGTGAGTGAGGATTCAGACTTCTTCATATCCCCTCCAACATTTCTTATCATCTCCTTTTTTGATTAGAACAATCCTACTGGGTGTGATGTACTATCTCATGGCAGTTTTAGTTTGCATTTCTCACATGGCAAATGACAGTGAACATCTTTTCATGTGGACATTTGTTTATCTTCTTTGGAGAAATGTTTACTCAGATCTCAAAGGACTCTTTAATAGGCAAAATGGTTTGTTGATTAAAAAAAGTTTCTTTGAAGTCAGGTGCTCTTTATAGAATTTAAGCTCCTCATTTGCCTTCTCTCTCTCTCAATTTCCCTCTCTCCTCCCTTCCTTCTTTCCCCCTTTTTTTTGCTATGTATCCCAGGCTGCCTTGAACCTGTGATCCTCCTGCTTCCACTTTCCAAGTGCTAGGATTACAGGAGTTGAACTTCTCTGTCTTGGAAAACTTCCATTCCAAGCTCTGAACCTTGGAACCCAAAAAGTTGCTTGGTTTGGCTCTCTCTATCCTTTTTTCACTTTTTCTGTTGCTATATTTATTTTCATTTTCTGTTTGTCCATATTTTCTATACTTTTGTCATAAAAAATAATACATTTTTTGTTTTTTCCTTTTAAAAAATTTTTTTTATTGTTTTATTATTCATATGTGCATACAAGGCTTGGATCATTTCTCCCCCCTGCCCCCACCCCCTCCCTTACCACCCACTCCACCCCCTCCCTCTCCCTCCCACCCCCTCAATACCCAGCAGAAACTATTTTGCCCTTATCTCTAATTTTGTTGAAGAGAGAGTATAAGCAATAATAGGAAGGGACAAGGGTTTTTGCTGGTTGAGATAAGGATAGCTATACAGGGCATTGACTCACATTGATTTCCTGTGCGTGGGTGTTACCTTCTAGGTTAATTCTTTTTGATCTCACCTTTTCTCTAGTTCCTGGTCCCCTTCTCCTATTGGCCTCAGTTGCTTTTAAGGTATCTGCTTTAGTTTCTCTGCATTGAGGGCAACAAATGCTAGCTAATTTTTTAAGTGTCTTACCTATTCTCACCCCTCCCTTGTGTGCTCTCACTTTTATCATGTGCTCAAAGTCCAATCCCCTTGTTGTGTTTGCCCTTGATCTAATGTCCACATATGAGGGAGAACATACGATTTTTGGTCTTTTGGGCCAGGCTAACCTCACTCAGAATGATGTTCTCCAATTCCATCCATTTACCAGCGAATGATAACATTTTGTTCTTCTTCATGGCTGCATAAAATTCCATTGTGTATAGATACCACATTTTCTTAATCCATTCATCAGTGGTGGGGCATCTTGGCTGTTTCCATAACTTGGCTATTGTGAGTAGTGCTGCAATAAACATAGGTGTGCAGGTGCCTCTGGAGTAAGCTGTGTCACAGTCTTCTGGGTATATCCCCAAGAGTGGTATTGCTGCATCAAATGGTAGATCAATGTCTAGCTTTTTAAGTAGCCTCCAAATTTTTTCCCAGAGTGGTTGTACTAGTTTACATTCCCACCAACAGTGTAAGAGGGTTCCTTTTTCCTCGCATCCTCGTCAACACCTGTTGTTCTTGGAGTTGCTAATGATGGCTATTCTAACATGGGTGAGGTGGAATCTTAGTGTGGTTTTAATTTGCATTTCCTTTGTTATCATTCACTGGTAAATGGATGGAATTGGAGAACATCATTCTGAGTGAGGTTAGCCTGGCTCAAAAAACCAAAAATCGTATGTTCTCCCTCATATGTGGACATTAGATCAAGGGCAAACACAACAAGGGGATTGGACTATGAGCACATGATAAAAGCAAGAGCACACAAGGGAGGGGTGAGGATAGGTAAGACACCTAAAAAACTAGCTAGCATTTGTTGCCCTTAACGCAGAGAAACTAAAGCAGATACCTTAAAGCAACTGAGGCCAATAGGAAAAGGGGAACAGGTACTAGAGAAAAGGTTAGATCAAAAAGAATTAACCTAGAAGGTAACACCCACGCACAGGAAATCAATGTGAGTCAATGCCCTGTATAGCTATCCTTATCTCAACCAGCAAAAACCCTTGTTCCTTCCTATTATTGCTTATACTCTCTCTACAACAAAATTAGAAATAAGGGCAAAATAGTTTCTGCTGGGTATTGGGGGGGGAGAGGGAGGGGGTGGAGTGGGTGGTAAGGGAAGGGGTGGGGGCAGGGGGGAGAAATGAACCAAGCCTTGTATGCACATATGAATAATAAAAGAAAAATGAAAAAAAATTTGCATTTCCTTTATTGCTAGAGATGGTGAGCATTTTTTCATGTGTTTTTTGGCCATTTGAATTTCTTCTTTTGTGGTTCCCTCTATCCTAAACACCACATGGGGCATGGGGTATAGGGAGTGCAACACTGGATGCAGTAATTGATGGTAGTTCTCAAACTGGTTCATTATCAAAAACACCTAGGTGAAGAAAGGCAGAGTCTCATGGCACTAGATCACACAATTAGAATTTTGGGGTGCAGCTCTGCTGCTGCAGAAGGATAAAAAAATGAACAAAGATGTGAAGTGGCTGTGAAAAAATGCAAGAATAAAGTGCAGAACTCATGGCAAAGGTCAACAGGAATTTAAATCAGATCTTTGCAAATGGAAAACCTAAGGACAGATGTATTTAATTTTATATGATGCTTTGACCCAGCTTAATTATGCCTATTTGACCTGGTTCAATTATATCCTATCATTGACTTCAAAAAGAGTATTCAGCACTGAAAACAGAGGTGCCAAATTCATTTATGCTATTACTACACACTTCAGCCTTCCTTCTTCCATCTACCCCTTACTCCTTAACTCTTTCCCACCCAGCCTCTGCGTGCAAAGCAACAAATCCCACATCCGATTTCCCAAGGGCCATATGGTGACTGTTCACTGCCCGTCTGATTGCCTTTTTTTAGGCTTTATCTTTCCACCCTTCTCCTCAGCGGCACCTAAATCCATTTACACTCCCTGCTTCTGTCTGTGCTCTCCGGATGCCGATGCCTGGAGTTAGCTTACTCTGCTCTTCCTTCACGTGACTTGCATCTGTTGCTGAGGCAATGTGGTACTCAATGCTTCCTGCTCAAAGCTAAGTACTGGGTCACAAAAACAAGTGAGGCTCAGCTCTGCCCTCGGGAACCTCAGTGTAGTAAGTTGTCCTCTTATCTCTATAGTGAGGTCTCTTTCCAGGATCCTTTATCTCCTCCAGTCCCTTTCAGCGTAGGCATGCCTAACATTCCCATCTGCTCTTCTTTTGTCTGCTTTCACATTTCCCCACAGGGATGTCAGCTCTTCTTTTCAGAGATGAACCCCCTGTTATGGACCTCTAGCCCTGGGTGCCTTGACTTGGCAACTGTATCCACCATGATCCAACCCAAGCTGGTCTTCCATTCAGCCCCCATTTGTTCTCATCAGGCATTTGGTGCTCTATCTAAATGGGATTTCTTGCTGTTCATCAAACATGCCCTTCCTATTCCAGTCTCTATGCCTTAAACCATACTGTTTCCATCTGTTGGAAAACTCCTCGCTCCATCTGTGCCTGTAGAAAAACCTCTCATTCTTTAAAGCTCATTCTGAACATCACCTGTTGTGCAAGTTTTTCCATTTCCTTCTGAGGCCTTCCATTTCCAGCAACTAGAAGCTTGTTCATTTTCCTTTTTCATTTCATCAACCCTCTTAAGTCCCTTAGTTTATTTTATCTTCAATTGAATGTCTATGTTGTTCTCTACTCTAGCCTGAGACTTCCTTAGACAATGATTGCTCTCAGTTAGTTCTGTATTTTGATGTGTGGCTTATGTGGAGGTCATAACTGTACTCAATATGTTCTTACTATGTTGATTTGAATGTACAGGCTCAAGGGAAAATCATGCTTTCAGACTACCTTCCCAGCTCTCTAGTCCATCATCACTCTTTCTTAAAAACTACCTTTAGAAAGAGGATTTTTAAGCTGGATTCTGGTGGCTCATCCCTGCAATCATAGCTACTTGAAATACTGAGATTGGGAGGATCATGGTTGGAGGCCAGCATAAGCAAAAAGTTTGTGAGCACCCATCTCAATAGAAAAAGGTTGGGTATGGTGGCATGTGCATATTATACCAGCTGTAGGACTGACTATTGGTGTCCAGACTGGCCTGGGCCAAAAAGAAAGTCCCTATTTTCAAAATAACCAGAGCAAAAAAAGCTGCAGGTATGGCTCAAGTGACAGACCATCTTCCCAGCAAATACAAAGCCCTGAGTTCAAACCCCAGTACCACCAAAAGTAAACCAGCAAACAAGAACAGATGGTAATGACAAAAAAAAAAAAAAATCTATAAGCCTTACTTCTGGTATTGGTCACTCTTTCCCTTCATATATGGTAACATTTTATGTTAATTTGTGTAATTTAACATGTCTAACTCTTTTTCTTTTGAATGTGACAAACTAATTCATTAAAAGTTTTAGGAAAGATGCATGATTATGCCAAGCCTATCAAAGTTGATCACTTCTAAAATGAAAGAAAACCACAGACACATTAAAAAGATTTTCCACTAGGTTTCTTAAAAAATAGAAAAAGAATAAAAATGATTTTAGAAATGATCTGAGAAAGACATGTGTAATTCCATTTAAATTTGGTTTATGTGCCATATAAAATCTTTTTGCTATAATTTCCTTATGAGAAAACTATAAAGTGAAAGGTTTCCATTATTATGTTATAAATTTTGGAACTTACTTTCAAAATCCAGGAAAAAATGTGGATAGTTTTCAATTTCCCTGGTCAGGACTTTGAGCAGGTTTCCCATCCCAGCAAACCTAGGAAAGGTAACACAAAACCAAATACCATTAGAAATATTAAAAATAGGTTCATAGAAGTATCACTAGACCTTTTCTAGCTACTGCTGAGGACCAGAAAGAAAGCATTTCCCCCTCTGAAAATGAGCAATTCACCTTGCAGTCCATTCCTGAATTGGTGACAGATAAAGTATCACTGTGGGGCAGAGGCTGTCTAAAATTTAGGAACATATGGTTTAAACCATGCAAAGTCTGACAATGGTGAAAGGGTTGTTAAGGTTTCTCTGCAGAATACACTTGCACCCTGTATCTCACTCACTATTAAAAAAAAATTAACCAAAAATACCCTAAAAAGAATTGGGTATTTTAGTTATCAGAAGTTTTGGTATATTCTACAAAGTGCTTCCTTTTCCCATTTATTGATCCTCAGAATCCTTCCAGCTAGTGTCTCCGGGTTGCTTTGTGTCCTATCTGTTGATGTGGAATTGATTAAGTCAATGCACACAGATGACAGGGGACATTACTAAAATATCTTTCCAGAAAGTTAAGGTTCTTAAGGTTTATGAGAAACAGAATTCATAAAACATACTAGCGATCTCAGGGATTCCTCTTGATACCTCAGAGTGTAACTCCCAGAGAAATTAAAAGGTCTCATAACTTAACATTTCAGTGCTAAAGGCTTTGGCACTTCATGAAATATAAAGATGAAAAGGCATGATATTCAAAAAGTCACTGTCAATGAACTAGCAGCCTAAGACATTTACCAAAGTGGCCCCAAATCAAGAGAAATACAAATTTGTTACATATCTACAGCTTCAACCTAAAAATAAAAGAATAGGTAAAATGTAGTTATTTTTTAAGTAAACAGCAAACTTTCTACTGCTGTCAGACTTAGATATTAAATTGTCTTCTAGGGAGGCCATGCACCCACTCATTCACTCCACACGTATTTCTGGAATTTCAAGTAGGTGGTGGTCCTGTGCCTTTGGAAGACCTTCCTCTAACTCTGCTGTAAGTGACCTCTTCTGGCTCAGACACCTCATTCTGTGAAGAATCAATTTGAAAAATCAAGGGACCAGTGCAAAGGAAATGCTTGGCTGCAATTTTCCACACACATGGTTCGGATGGTAAAGATGTTGATACAAGGAATTGAAAAACATATACCACTACAAGAAAGATGTGGTGAGAGAAGAATGCACTGAGAAGACAACTTTGTGCATGAGTGTACAGAAAATGGCATAGTCTGGTTTCCATAATTTTCCACTGAGAAAACACTCATACACTTACAGACATCTTCCAAAGGAGAAGTCACTTGTGTGAAACTGGAAAAGAGACTGTGCAAGGAGTCTTTATTTCATGTCAGAATGCATAATCCTAACTCCAGCTCTGCTTTTTGCTTACCTCTGCTCTCCAGGGCAAGCTACTTCACCTCTGCAAGTCCCTGTTTCCTTATCTTGAAAAGTATCTATTTCATCAAGTTGGGAGGACCAGTGATGTAGGTTCTGCAGAATTTAAAACTTAGAATTGGTATAGTCTATCTCTGCCTTTAGGCAACATTCACAAGCCCTCCAGGCTCTTGAGGGGAGACTATTTCCAGCTTAATGAGCAATTCCAGCTTAGAGAAAGAGGCACTTTTTATAGGAAGATGGTTCTGTCATTTAGCAGAAGCCCTGGCTTTCATACATGCTGTCTTAATGGAAGTTAAACATTCTTATTTTCCCTATTTTTGTGCTATAAATGTAACACAAGAGACTTGTATGGATTTAGCTTCCTCCTAAAATTCTATCTTGCATGTGATTTTACTGTCAGAGTGTGTGGGTGGGAGATATGCCAAGCCTGTGAAATTTGTAACAGACTGAAACAAACATATGTAGAAATACATCCAAATATTAGCTGTAGAATTTTACCCCTTCAAAATGTTATTCGAGTTGGTTGATGATATGGTCAAATATCTTGGAACATGATTCTAATGTTAAGAATGGTCAGTTCCCTGGAAATCTCAGGACTCCAGATGTGTCATCTCTCAAACAGGAACATCTGGAGCAATGACTTGGGCACTATGTACTACTGGGGATCAAGTTTAGTCCTATGGAACCTAGAAAACACGTGCTTCAAATCCAATGCAAAAAAAGCCTTGAATTTGTCCTGAAATATTTTATCTCATTTTCTTCATGGGAAAGGTCTTGCTGCTTATAGCTTTTCTTCTAGGTCAATAAAAATTAATGGGAGCATCTTTTTATTTAGGGGGGGGTCTACAAAGTGAGTTGGTACATTATAGAGATGACCACCAAATAGAGACCATGCTGATTTATTTATGTGTTTACATATTGTATTTTTTATGGTCCTAGGGATCAAACTTAGGGCATTCCATATTCTTGGCAAACAATACCTCTGAGCTACATCCCCAGCCCACCATAGTAATTTTTTAACTGGACCCAGGGCTTCACTTGGAAAGGTCCCTCATCCAAATTCTTCATGGAGGAGACTTTCCACTATGTTCAAAAAACTCCTTTATGAACACAAAATGCTTTGCTTTACACTGAATTACTAATGAGATACTTTAGTTAATATAGAGATTATTTGAAAATATTTTATTCAATAAAAGAATAACATACACTATTGGTGAATGCAAGTATTGACATAATAAAAGTGAGGAAAAGGGACTAATAAATGAAGTTATAGAGGTAAACAGTGCAGATAAGCCATCATTGCTGGAAAAGTCATTTGCTGGAAAAGACTTATCAGTTTCTGTGTAAGCTTCTGAATAGTCATAGAAATGGAGAAAAAACTGATCCCTTTCAGGATTTAGTGTATAGAAAACAACTAGGTTACACTGGAGAAGTACAATGATCATGGTTAAAAGAGTTAAGAAGAAGAGAAATCTCTCTTGGCTCAAAGTAGAGGCTGCTTTGCTGAGGAGGTTCTATCTGAGAATGAACTGAGTCAGAGTTCCCGTGGACAGTGCAGTCCTTTTCCAGGCAAACGTGTGGCTGAGATGCCTGATTTGGCAGCCTAGAGGTGTGCTCTGCAAAGCTGGGAACTCTGGTTTCCATGTTCTGTTCAGCAACTTCATAGCCATCCTTCCACTGCGACCTACTGCTGTTGTTCCAAAAGATGTCAACAACTTGTCACTTCTCTCTATGCTGTGGGAGCTTGTGTCAGAGGGAACACAGCAAGCCAGTAGGAACTCAGCCTCAAGGAGGACCTTAACCAGAGTATCTTAAAATGGTGACAATTTTTGGTGGTTTCTACAGGTAAATAAGTTGCTTATATAAGTTTGAGGGACAGAAAAGTCTCCCCGATAATAAAAAAGAGAGAGGGAGAACCATTTGAAGAAGTATGACAAAAATGTAGATGAAAAAGTACTACAATATTAGAGATAGATTTCATAAAGGAGGATGATAAAAATCTGTGCCAGCCAGGCTCCAATGGCTCACACCTGTAATCCTAGTTACTCAGGAGGCAGAGAACAGGAGATGGTGGTTCCAAGACAGCCCAGGGAAATAGCTCATTAGACCCAATCTCAATAAAAACAAAAAACAAAACAAACAAACAAACCCAACAGATAACAGGGCTGGTGGAGGGGCTCAAGTGGTAGAGTGCCTGCCTAGCAAGTATGAAGTCCTGAGTTCAAATCCCAGTACAACAACAACAACAACAAAGCTGTCCCAGGCATAAAGTAGTGAAGAGTTGAAGCAGTAATTTACCAAGCATGTTTATTAGTTAAAACTGGTATGTTGTTTATAGTGTAAAAGTTAGGCTTACGTTAGCCACATAGGTGCACATGTGTGCACACATATGAATTGACTCCCTTGGCATCTTCTGAGATTGTCTAAATTCATTTCTGGGAAGCACATGCAATGGGAAGCGAGGACAGAGAATACAAGGTCTTGGCTACCAGGTGATGAAACAGGAAAAAACACCAAATACACCAGTTGAGTAGGTGTTCATGAAGAGTTGGGGTCCTGAAAATAAGACTGTTGGGCCCTCTTGCTAAGGATGCTTTATGCTTTGGAGAGAAGCATCTGAAGGTGGCCCTCTTCTGCCTGCGATCATTCTGGATTGGCTTTGACTCTTAGAGGTACCAGTCTTCCTCCATGCCTAGACTTTTCTGGGCTATCCCCTCTCTACCAAAGTAGAGGGTGTGAACATCTGGGTCACCTGGCCCTTATGGTGGCTTCAGCTATTGGCTGGGCCTCTTTTTTCTATAGCATTGTAATTTGGAATTTACTTACTAACATTAGGACACAGATTTGAGAATCTTAAGCATAGTGCAGACCAAAATAATGCTGTCGTCAATGATGTTTTCTAAAGATGTATAGTGTCAGTAGACCACGAGAAGAGTTTGAAAGACCCTCAAACATGCAAGGCACAATCTAACTGCCCCATCGTTTCAGAACAAGTCACTTTACCTAGGAATCTTGGGTTCTTCACTAACACAACAACAATACAATATTATCTCCTGCATGGAATTCTTGGGAGGACTGAATAAAGTGGCATAAACACATTATGTATATTCTAAAGTGCTGTGCAAATACTAGCTTTAATTATTCAACATTACAACTCTTCTTATAGTTTAAGATAGTCAGAGGCTCAAAGAAATAAATGCAGCATTCCTAGAGTTATATGATTTGCATTCAGAAAATCTTTCAGTTTGGATCTCCCAAAATCCATGGTCCTTATGCATATGTCTTTTACACAAAGCTATAATTTTATCAATAGTTATGAGCAGCAATATCTGCAAGGGATTTTTCTACATGTCACACAGTGTACTTTAGATATATGTTCTTATTTCACCTTCAAAACACACCAAAAATGAAGACTTTTTTTTTTAGTGATTAGAAAACTAAAACTTATTAAGAGTAGAAGCTGATTGAAAAACTATAAATTCTTATGAAAGAAAACTAGATTTTTCAAAAGCATGATATCTATGCAAGTTTGTTGAAATGAGAGGCGAGGCTCTTCATATCAGCCTGTACAGGTTTATCCCATTTTTAACGCAAAAATGCCAATCATAAAAA